CAATCAAACTTTAAAAGCCTGCCCCATGACCGCATGAGGCTTTGGTGGGACATCCAGACACAAACCATAACAGCCTTCTTCTGATATTTGGGTGGAAACCTCCATAACTCCACAACTCTTAAATTCTTTATGCCTAAAAAGCCAGCACCATATGGAAGATGCTAGCATCTGCTACCAGGTTGAGCAGTAGCCTGACCCCCTTGGACCATGGCTGCAGAGGCCTCTGTGGGTCTGGATAGTTTAACTTGGGGAAGCATTTCTATAGGTGTCCCTGAATGAGTACCTGTGGCCCAGGAGCTCTCTTCTCAAAGCAAAGTCTTTTAATAGAGTTTAGCTGTTTACACCCTTGAGCCTGTGACTGGTGGGCCTGGCCATTTTCTGAAATGCCTTCAAAGTACCTTTCCCATTGTGCTAATGCAAAGTATTTCACTTCTTTTTAGTGGTGTCTGTCTCTTCAGCAATCATACCTACTTTTGCCCCAACTTTATGCATAGTCCCTTTTGTACCAAAATTTAAGTTTTTCAAACTTTTCTGCTCTATCTTTTGCCTCTGATTCTTATTATAAATGTGACTAAAAGCAGCCAGCAATACCCATGCCACAGCCTAAATGTTGGGCTATCTTGAAATTTCCTCCGCCAGATTAATTAGTCCACCATTCATAATCTCAATGTATGACAAAGTCTCAAGACATAAACACAATGTGCTTGAGTTCCTTCCCAATGTAACACACATAGCCTCTGGTCCAGTTTCCAATAGATTCCTTGTTCCCAATTAAAACTTCTTGAGCCTGGCCTTTACTGTCCACTTTCCGCTGACATTGTGGTCTTAGGAGCTCCAATTAGAATAATACTTCATACTGTTTTCATAGCATTCTTGGATACTTGAGCCCAAATTTTTCTTTTTTTATTGATACATGTTTGTTATACATAATTATGTTCATTGTGGGGAGTTACTACATAACCTGCATTTTCAAACCTTTACAAAGTCCTCCTGCAGACCAACTCAAAATGTTTTGAAACTGTATGATCAGGTATAGTCCCAACAATGACCCCTTTCTCCCATACCAGTTTTCAGTCTTAGTTAGCTTTCTACTTGCTGGCTACAAAGCCTGACACATATAACTTAAAAAGGGAGAAGTTTAATTTGGCTCACAATTAGAGGAAATTAAGCCCATGGTCATCTGGTTTCAAGGCAGAAATGGTGTGGGAGGGCAGGGCTGGAGAAAGCCATTCACCTCATGGTCACCAGAAGCCAGGTTGGAGGGGTGAGGAGGGAAGAGCCAGCGGCAAGAATATATACCAAGGTCATAGCCCTGTGACCTACTTCTTCCAACAATGCCCCACTTCTTAATACCATAGTCAGTTATGAACTTAGCAGTGAGTGTAGCAGCCCCATGATCAAATCACCTTTTAAAAGTCCAACTTCTAAATACATGAGACTTTGGGGGGACATTCTAGATCTGAACCATACTATCATAAGTTATTAGAATCACATGTGAGGACATTTAATATACAGGAGACTTGACGCACGAGAGTGCCAGAGCCTGAAATTTATTTTGGAAACCTATTTGAAAAGCTTTTGACTCTTGGAAAAGGTTTAGATACATTTTAGAAGAGTTTATTCTGCTAATTCTGAAGAAAGGTATTAATAATTAGTACTTGAAAATGTTTAAGTGCTAATTCAGTGGAGGTGTTTAAGCTTTGTTTCACCACAGTTTTTATTTTGATTTAAAAACTGTGTGTTCTTTTTTTTAAAGGAAGAAATTATGTAGGGCAAGAATATTTTATATTCTTTTTGTCTCAGTTATCCACAGTGTAAGAAGTTTAGTCCTTCACACCACAAGTTTATTCATATTATAACATAATGCCTTACAAGGAAATAAATTGCCTCTGAAGAATTTGTTTGCACCTAGTGCTGTGAAGGGAAATCAGATATTACCTTGTTGGGTGAGAAACTCATATGCCTGTAGACTGGATCCAAGAGACACTTTGTTCAACATATTCATGCTCTTTGAGGCTCTTGAGCTGGGAAATATGAGAAATGAACAGAGAAAACACCTGACCTTGCCATGATGTCTCTCTGGCTGGCACAAATGAGAGGGTTGATTTCACTAGAGCCAACAGCAAGAGCTCCTGCCGGGCAGCATGTGCGGTAGCTATTCTAGTAGAATAAATGGGAAAGGCAGCAGGTCCTACAAGTTTGAGTACTTGTACTTGTCCTGTCTTCTCGCTTGCATTGTCAGTAATCCTTTCTGAATATCACAGTGGGTTGTAGCTTAAAACTCAAAGTAAACTCAGAAATCATCTAGTCCAGTTCACTTAGATTTGAAAGATAAAAAGCCAAGATTCCTTAAATGTAAAAGACTCTTCTCAGTATATTTCTTTTTTTTGTGATTAAATGTCAGCATGGATCTTGATAACATTTCAGTTAAGAAAAGAGATAAGAATCACTGATGTGAAGATCTGGGTGAGGAAGAACTAATGCATGCTAAACTCCCATGCTAAATATGCATGTGTTCAGCTCCCTGTCTGGAATGCCTCCCAGAGACAAAGACAGGTGGTAGCAGCCGCCCTGGAAGTGGCAGCCTAGTCTGAGCTCCCTTTGCACTGTGATAAACAAAGCATCTGCAGTGGGAGTTCACTGTGGGGCTGTTGGGGCTCAAAGATATGTTCTGTGAGGTGGCGATTGCTCCAGAAACATAACCTGACAAAATGAAAGATGTTGACAATGAGCATGCATTTTCTCAATTTTGTTAATTAAATCTTACAAGGAGAATTTTCTAGGAATAATTCCACTGTAGATAAAAATGTTTTTAATCCAGATATAGGTCCTGGAAGGGACCATCTTGCTGAATTGCTGTTTAGTGTGCACTCCTTCATTTCGTGCTGTGGGCCTTTCATCTCCTATGTTTTATGTAACATGATTTCTATGGGGAAGAGAAAATCCTGATTGGAAAAGGATGGAGTAGAGAATATGGGTGAAAGGACTCAATGGAAAATCCATAATAAACCTTCTGATAAAGCAAATCCTTAAGGACAGCCTCCTTCCAGAACTCACATTGACAGTCTACACTGAATGTCTTGTTTCCAGCCCGTACGGACAAGGAATCCAGTTCATTTGTTCTCCAGCCTGTGGCATACATAAAGCATCCCTGTCCTCAGGGAGCACACAGTTGCCTGCAAACTTGTTAAAAGTAGAAGAATGTTTACTCTGGCTTGCAGGCTGATACCATCAGTCCATAGATGACAGAGCCCTCATTTCATGTTCTCTTCCTTTGTTGGGCAAACCAGTGACAGCCCCAATCCTCAGTGCAAACTACCAGACTCGTTCACCTTTCCATTTTCATGGCTCTGAGGTAGTAAGAATGTAAAATACATTTTTTTCCACTCTAAGAATATTTCTTGGATTAGAAAGCCTTCATTTTTACAACAGCAGACAGAACTGTAAGCCACCTTGTGATACACAGAGAAGTTCCTCTTTGTCAGTTTGATTCCCAGCCAGCTGAGGCCAGTTTCCCTCTGGGGATGTACAGGTGGCTCTCAGAGTCAGTGCCTATGACAGGACTGCTTTCAGCTTCTGTTCCAGTCCTCATAGCACCAAAGCTTGTCCCTCTTCCCACTATCTGCCCTCGTTCTTAGCCTGCACACAGCTAGACACAGGCATTCCCTGAACCTGCCCTGCTCCAAGCAGTTCTAGCTCTCAATTGTGCCTCCTTCCCTTTATTGTGATAAGCTTTCATTTTTCCTTTTTTGTGTGTGCAAAGCTCCCTTTGAAGTAAGTGGTCTTTTGTAGCAGAGATATATCTCTGATTTGAGGACTATTGGATCTTCCAGTATAGACTCTTAAAACTAATAGCATTATTATTACACATGCCAAGTACAGACTGTCATCTCTCTGGCTAAAATAAATATAAGAAATTGTAGTCTCATACTGTGGTATAGAAAGAGAAGATTAGTTCTGAAGGAGTTCTAAAGTTTGCTTGATGAATTAATTTCTTCCTCATTGCTTATTATTAAAGTGTGAATGCTGAATGTAAATTCCAATGTAACACAATTTTCATTCTTTCTGCAGCACCTGAAATTCTTAGAGGGTGTGCCTATGGACCTGAGGTGGACATGTGGTCTGTAGGAATAATCACCTACATCTTGTGAGTGAAGAAAAACAATCTTTATGCAAACTGCTTGCCACTGCATAACATTTTCTAGATACTCAAAAGTTCTCATTAGAATCAAGATTGCTGTTTAACTATTTGTGTTTTTCTATTCATACTAACTGTAGTTAGTGACAGAATTTTCTCATGAGTATTTCTTTTATGTTTTATGATTCTCTTGGGACTAGAATTTCTGTCCAGGGCTTTTCTCTGGCTTATTTTGCTATATAGTATATAACGAATTTGGGAAATAGTTATTTGATAATCGTAATGAATATGAAACCCAAGCCCACCTATTATACTTTGCCTTGTTTTATTTATTTTCATCTTGTCTAAAATGACTATACTATTAGTCCTTTTAAGAAAGTAAATGGATATTTATTTCTTAAGCAATCTCAAACTGACATTTCTTATCATAATAATCTACATGCATCTTGGCTATCAATTTTGTTTCCTGTCTGTTAGGTTCTCAAGGACCTTGGGTTTAATACCCTACACAAACTTCTCTGGAAGAAAAAAATGAGCAAAATACTTCATTCTTTGGTATTTCCAACTTTGTTACTAAACTGCTGTCTAATAAAAAAATAGTTCCAGGAGATTCACCAAAGTAGTGATGAAACTGCACATGATTATAAGGGAAATCATAATCTGAACAGAAGAGTGGCTGGAAAGGAAGACAGCAATAGAAAATCTAAAAAGCAAGATATTAATGAGTTCAAAAGGTTAACCCAAAATAAATACATTTATTTGGCATTTAGAGGGTGATCCAATTAGTTTTGGAACTCATAATACACAAATTTGTACAGATTTCAGAGGGTTGGAAAGAAAGCACATTAGTCTTGCTTGGCTGCCATAAAAGATGCATGGATTAGGTGGCTAAACCAACAGATACTTATTTTGTCACAGTTCTGGAGTCTGAAGCTTTAAGGTCAGAGTGTTAGCATGGTTGGAATCCTGCTCCTGACCTACCTGTGCAGACTGATGCAGTAAAGAGAGGAAGAATGCAGAAGTTTAGGCCTTAGCATTCCCAAATGTTGCATTTTTCTGGCTGGCTCCAGAATATTTGGAAGAGACAAGGACTCTCCCAGTGAGACATTCTATGAGCAAAAGGAAAGACACCACTCTTTGTAAGTCCACCATTTTAGGATCCACTTGAGTTTTTCATGCTCTGCACCAACCTGGCCAACTTTAGGGAAGAATCTGAGAAGATATTTTTAGACTCACCCATTATTTTCCCCATGTGTCTTGCCGTTTCTTTTTGGTCCATAGTGATTTCAGAACTGCTACCCATCTCTAAATAGAGAAGGCTTAATAATTCCAGACCAGCAGCAACTCCTTTGCTTCCTCTTCTCTCTCTTTTTCTCTCTGCCTCTCTCTCTCTCTGTCTCTGTCTCTCTCTGTTTCTCTCTCTCTCTTTCTCTCTCTCTGAGAGTTCCCTGTTCCTTTTCTCAACTTTTCCCCATTCATTTTTATGCTGACCTCATAGTGCAAAATGAACATGAATGTGTTAGCTTTCTGTTACTGTGACAAAATATCAGAGAAATGACGTAAAGGAGGAAATACTTGTTTTGCCTCACAATTTCAAATGTGTCACACCATGGCTAGATAAAGCCATTATTTCTGGATTTTGCAAAGGGCAAAACATCATCACAGGGAGAAAAGAGTGGCACACTTCATGGAAGACAGGAAGAGAAAGAAAGAGAGAGAGAGCAAGAGATAGTCACCTAGGTGCCACCTCCTGAGTTTCCATTGTTTCCAGTAAGCTATCAAATTATTGACCCACCCATGGATTCGGCATCGGTGAGGTCAGTGTCCTCACTTCCCAAGAGCACCACCTCTGAGCATTGCTATTTTGGGGAGCAAACCTTCAACACATAAGTACTTGGGAGACATTTCAAACTGTAACAGTGGACGTAATGAAATGTCTTTAAGGTGTACAAAGTGAAGGTCATATTTCAGGATGAAATAGGTTTAGGGTGTTCATTTCTGCTGGCTGCATCTGGTCACTGAATTTTTTTAAAAAATTAAGGACAGTGCCTGCTGATAATTTTAACCTTTATTTTAGTTCACTCAGAAATCCGTACTAAAAGGGAGTATATGTCATATTTTATGCATTTCTATGGAGAAATTAAGAATAGGGATGAATAAAATGTAAACACTCTTTTCCTTCCACTTTTAACCTCTTACTCTCAATTCTAACTCTTGCAATTTATACTAAACTGAAACTCTAATCAGCCTGTCTTCTTAGTTCTCATGAGAAATCTTTAGCGTGACGCCCATATGAATGCTAGTTACTGTCAGTGCTGTTCTTTTATGTCCCAAGTGCAGCTTTTTTGTAGAAATCTTATTTCACTATTCTTACTTTCTGGAGATGCGACTGTGTTTTTATACTACCAGCAGTGAATTATAACAAGGCAATACATACTTGTGCTGAGTAGACTTCAGTTCACAGCAGGAGGCTGTGTCAAAGTCATGAATTTCCTCAGAAATCTGGTGGAACGTACTATTCTTTTAAAGACTCTTTATTCTCTATATTTTTTCCCTGTAGACTTTGTGGGTTTGAACCATTCTATGATGAAAGAGGTGATCAGTTCATGTTCAGGAGAATTCTGAATTGTGAATATTACTTTATCTCCCCCTGGTGGGATGAAGTATCTCTAAATGCCAAGGACTTGGTAAGTGCAACCAAAACAAAATAAAATAAAATGAGATAAATTCATTTTTAAAGAATAGAAAATGCCATTCTTAAAAATATGCCTCTATTAATAGCATATTTCTTTTTAATTTTAAGCCAATTTTAATAATACATATCAATGCATTTTCCTTATAGACAATGAAAATAAATATGTTTGGACTCATTGCTAGTTAAATTATAACAAATTATAATTGCTATAGCATTAATTAATAAACTATAATATGCACTATAGAGCCTTGATTATGAAGAAAGTTATGCCAGGTGAATCAGAACATAATTTACACAAAATTTTGCTGTAACATGGCTTGTTATTGTAGGTACATGTATTGGATATACTTCAAATGAAACAGTGTTGTTAATGAAATTTCATTTAAGTTTATTAAAATATCCTTACAGTAACATGAGTCCTGTTATGTTATTGGCATTGTAAACAAGCTCCACTTTACTAATAGTGCATTTTGTTTTATTTACCTTGCTTCTCATTTAAGCTAACATTGAAGTTCATTTGCATTCGGGAAATACCCTCTGGGGAGGGATCCGCTGTTTGTGAAAACAGGACTCTGTGGTGTAGTTGAAATATTTACTTTCAGTCCTCTAAAAAACCAAAGCTAACTTTTGAATAATCAAAGATTAAGACAGCTCTCAGAAGTCATCTAGTCTTTCCCTCACTTTAAAGATGAGGGTCCAACATAATACAGACTTGATGCTGAATACAAACTCCACCAATTAGGGAAGTAGCAAAATCTTTCTCTAAGCTCACTTCCATCCGTCCTTTGTGAAATACAGCTAATAGTTCCAAATTCTAAATTTATTAAAAGGATTACATAAGTTTAAAAGAATGTATATACAAATAAGAATGCATTTGCAAAACAATGAAGGTGGAAATGACATTCAATCATGTAATAAAATAGACACTATCGGAGTGCCTATAGGTAAGCAATTCAAGCATGACTATGTGTAGGATCCCAAAAGCAGAGCCATAACCAAGCATGAGCATACCTCCGGACTCCAAATGTTCCCTCCCCTCATACCAGGTCTCTGCTTCCAAACCTAGGGCTGGGAATTCTTTTATATGTTGATCTTTCTTGCCATTTATTTTTTGCTCATCTTTAGAAATAGGAGTAAACCTTGCAGAATAGGTTGCCATTGGTTAGATTTATCCCTTTAATCAACTCATACCCCAAAGCCACTGACTTCTTTATTTATAATTCTAAGATGCCTTTTACCACAGCTCTGGTCTTATTCTTATAGGATCGTCAAGAAATTAAAAAGAACTATTAACCAAAAGAGAATCATAAAATTGCACTCTATAGGAAATAGGGTACTATCCTTTTGGTTTGCCATTTAATCCCCCCAGAAAGAATGATGATGCATGAATGATTCTGCTACTGTGGAGTCATATTTTAAGCTCTGAATTCTAGGTGATTGTGAGGTGCAGGCTAAAATTATTCAGGTGCTGGCTCTTCCTTCAAAGAGCATCTAGCCCACGGGTAAGCCAGGACCTGCTTCTCTGACTTCTGTTGGACGTTTAATCTGCCAGTTTGGGGTCTCAGTTGGTGACATTACTGTCTTGTTTTACTCAGCTACAGCTACCCTTAAGCCAGTCCTACTCACAGTGACTTGAAGCTGAAACATTTTTTGGAAAAAAAAAAAAAAAAAAAAAAAAAATGGCGTCTTCAGTACTATTGCTTGGAAAACAGAAGATCTAGAAGTTCACAAACTGAGGGCAAGTCCAGGTCACCAAAAAAGTTTCCCTAAGTCTATTGTTCTTTATTATTTCAGGTCAGGAAATTAATTGTTTTGGATCCTAAGAAGCGGCTGACTACCTTTCAAGCTCTCCAACATCCATGGGTGACCGGTAAAGCAGCCAACTTTGTACACATGGATACTGCTCAGAAGAAGCTCCAGGAGTTCAATGCTCGGCGCAAGCTGAAGGTAAAATAATATGTTTTGCTTTGTTTGAAACAGATTTTTTTCTTTGTGTGGTACTACTATTCATTTCTAGTGATACCAAGGGAAAATCGTGCTTTGAAATACCAACGATGTAACATGAAGCCATTTATAGTTTGTTGTCCTCTCATACATTCATTAGTAATATGGGAAATGTGTTCTAGTTTGAGATTCACCAAACCCAGTATACTGTTGCTACTTCTCATCTAATTAAGGCTAAACTCCTTATTAAGGGCATTGTTCAGGAAACTGTGTATTCAAAGTGTTGTTTTCTTTCTGAATATGTAAAAATTAGGAGATAATTTTAAAACTATATTTCATTGTATGTATTGTACTACACTTGAAAATATTTAAATAACTTAAATGATGCAGAAAATTATTCAACAACATACAGTAATTCAAACACCTCTGTTTGCAGAACAATTCAGTTTACAAGCAGAAGTATTTGGCAAAAGTTTTCCTCTGTTCACAAACTTTGCATGGGGCGACAAGCACAACTATAGCCATCTTACGTACACAAACACAAACATGACCATCTTCCCCAAAATTGTAAAACAAATTAAGTTCATAAACAGAGGTGCCACTGTCTGTTTATTTGATAGCTTGTGTATGGAATACAGATTAGATGATGTTCTATGACACAGTGATATTCAGGATTAGCTTTGTGAGAAGCCCGGATTTCAGAGAATAAGTAGGAGTCAAAATTAGGGACCTAGTCAGCCATTTTTTTCACAGGCTGCTACAGATAAAATAGACCTGAAGGGAGTCTGTGATCAAATTAATTTGAAAGACCCTGCATTAAATAATGGTGATTTAACCCAGAATTTTTCAAGCTAATTTGACCATAGAACTATTCATCTTCAGGATACCTGCTGACACTCACGGAACTAGTGCTCCATGAAATAAATCCTTCGGGAAACAGTCTAAAATCTAGTCCAGTCATCTGTGGGCAAACACATTTCCTTAGACTTTCAATTGTCTGGATGATTAAATACTTTTAATTTGGGTTTAAGAGGTTTTTCTGTCCACTCTCCAAACAAGTTTTCATCCAACAATCAATCCTGGAATAATGTACTTTGAAAGATTGAATAAAAACCTATAAAGCATACTACCTCGGTACAAAGTAGAGGTTGACCTCTGATGCGGGATTCTGAGTGGAGATGACACTTGTAACTTTCCTTTCTCCAATCAGGCAGCAGTAAAGGCAGTAGTGGCCTCCTCCCGCCTGGGAAGTGCGAGCAGCAGTCATAGCAGCGTTCAAGAGAGTCATAAATCCGGTGGAGAGCCATCGCCAACCCAAGAGGGCAATGAGGACATCAGAGCTATTCCACAAGAAGACAGCATCCAAGGAGACAGGGCCAGCATGACCACTGAGAGCACAGCGGCTGAGCTGATAGAGGAGGTGGAAGATGCGGATACAAATGTGGAAGAGGCCCCCAAGACGGTGTCCGGGGCACTGGAGGGTGGTGTAAAGGTGGCCGATTTGGCCAGAGAGAAGGGCCTAGTGGAGAAGCTGAGGCCGATGGAGGAAGCAGCAGACCCCGAAGAAGAACAAGAAATCCCTGATGTGGGACTCGGACTTTCACAGCAAGACGTGATCCTGCCGGAGCACTAAGTCTGCGTCCTTCGGATCTGGAGGCCCAACTCCAGCACTGTATGTACTTTGTCTTTCAGCAAGGAAGGTGTGGAAGCATGATAAGCACTATAATGATTCTGTTTTTGAGGTGAAAAAAAAAAAAATACATATATGCCGGTTGGTAACCCTATGTCAATGCATGTGACTGCTTTATGAAAATAATTGTGTTTTCTATGGCATGTAATGGATACCTAATACCAATGAGTTAAATTGAAATTGCAAGTAACGCAACACTTAAAAACATACATTTTTTTCAGCAATCAGTGGCACATATTTGAAATAAATAGTAGCAAATTTGTTTTTCTTTGAAAATCAAGCCATCCTACATCCTCTGGGTTTAAGGCAGTGATCCCTTTGGCCTGCTGCTCAGCTAGTACCAGGAGTGCTACCAGACATGTTCCCTTGACTTTCCCACTATTTATGTGCTTGTCATCATTAATGTGTTCAAACTGTTTACAGCGGGATGGTTAGGCGATAGTTGTACAGTAGGTACAAAAAATTCATTTAAAATGATAAAAAATATTTATAAGAGTCATGAATCCATATGCCCTGAAAGCTTCTGTGGAAAAATGCCTTTTTATTTTATTCTTTCTTACATATATAATAGCAATCAAATGTTCTCCTCCCAATTCTACCATTTTACAATCCTTGAGAAAGTGTTTTACAAATTCATGCTGAGGGTCATTCTCCCCTTTCCCCTGCTAACCACTGAGATGCTCTTCAAATGGACAAAATATAGGGACGAATAAAGACATTTAGGCCAGAAAAGGAGATAAAAATGGGACTTAGACTAACAAAAATAAGACTGATTCCTTTCCATTTTTCAGTAGTAATGATATTTGTGAATGTATACAAGCTTATGGATACTAACACTTTTGTGAATTAACTACAAATGACAAGCTTTAAATATTTTCAGAAAATCTGTTCCGCAGATTGATGCCAAAATATCTGAATAGAGTGAGAAGAACATGTTCCATGGTGAGATTGTTCACTGTTGTAAGGAAACATTATTGTTGACAAAAGCGTTTCCTCTTGTTGATGATTATTTAGATATCCATTTTATGGATTTAAAAATAACTATGAAAAGTTAGTGTATCTTTTTCTCATACTTGGAATGGAAGTGGCCACTTTTTGCAATTTAGTTTTGAAATTTTCCATGTCAAGAAATTTCGCACATTGGGGCTGGGGATTTAGCTCAGCGGCAAAAGCGCCTGCCTGGCAGGCGCAAGGTCGTGAGTTCGGTTCCCGGTACCGGAGAAAAAAAAAAAAAAAAAAAAAAAAAAGAAATTTCGCACAATGTAAATATGTATTTACCTTAAAAGACACTGATTTTAAATCAGACTCTTTAAAAACCTGGAATATTAGACCCAATGTATTATTATGATTTGTTTCCATAAGAAATACTTTTCCTTAACTTCCATAGGAACATTTTTCCTTTCTAGAAATTAAACTAAGTCCAAGCATCCCAAATTTATTTCTAGTTCAAGTTGAAATATTTTATCAAAATAATTATGTGTCACATTTTTTGTTTTGTTTTTTTTAATTTTAAGAAAGGATTATTTTAAATGTCCAAAATGAAGAGAGGAAAAATGACCAGATTATAAAAATCCTCATGGAATAAACAAATCTTAAATTACTTTGACTCTTCCTCAAAATAATTAAATTTGGAAAATAAAATTAAACCTCTGGCTTTGGAGACTATTCGATCTTATTATACACATGTTCTGCTTTCTGGGTACAAATTCTCAGTAGAAGGAAACAAGGTAGGCCAGCTCGGATTCCATAGTTTCGGCTCTGTCAGGTCACTGGAGTGCAGGGAAAAGCCCTTAAGCAATCGTCTGACCTCTGATGATTGTTTGGGATTTTGATTTACTTTTATAAATTAGTAGTGCTTATCCTCTTTTTTCTTTCCTTCATTTTCGTTTTAATTATTCCCTCTTAGAATTCTCCCTTTGGCTGTTATAAACGCCTATTTTTAAGCTCTAAGAATATCTTGTTTATTAAGCATTACGATTTCCATTTAAGAAGAAGAGCAATTCCTGGTGTAATTTTCCTTGGGAAACATAACAGGTATATATATACAGTAAGTATACCATACAGTAATGGAGCAAGGGAAAAGGAAAAGGAGCTTTGTTGGAAAATAGTATTTAGTTGAAAGATTAGAACACATTATCACTCCAAACCCACCTCATCTTGTTCCAAGGGCAGATGTGATTTCTTTCCAACCCACTGAAGAGTTGGTAAGAGGCCGACAAAATGTTTCAGAAATATTATAGAATGAAAATAAGTCTGTTGGCTACTACCATCCATTCATGTGCCTCAGAGATGTGTTCCCCACATGACTTCAAACAACAGCACGTTCCCAGGTCCTATTAAATTGTCCATGACTGCCGTCCCTCTGACCCCTTTTTGAGCCCTGGAGTACTGACTACAGCTTAAAGTCTCCTGAGTGCTCCCATAAAGTCAGTAATATTCTTACTTACTAAAATTACTATGAGCCAACCACATGTCCCCTTTGAGAAAAGACTACAAATAGGATCCAGATTTTTAATCCTGGACTAATAGGACACCATCTCTATGTTACAGGCAACATGTCTTTCTAGAAATTACCGAAACATGCAAATGTGCCTGATGAAGATTGTATGATGATAGTGATGTTATGTCGGTTACCTCCAGAATAAGACTATAACCATTGGCTGGCAAGTTTTAGACTTCCGTAGAAGGGTTTAATCAACACTGCCATTATACATGATTTTAAAAAAAGACTTTTGGAATTTTTTTACATACTGATTTTAGAATAATCGTCAAGGTTCTATAGTCATTTTTAATGGCAAACTTAAAAATAATACTTTGCCTTTTACTGTGACCTCAATTACATGGTGTTTTTAACATATTCCGTAATTTAGAATGTTTAGTGATGCCTATTTCCACCTTCACATGCAAGGTAACTCATCGTGGTTTGCCTACAAGCTGATGACTTAAAGGGAGACATTTTGTATTATAATTCAGTTTTTATTGTACAGAAGTAGCTGGTTGTAGTTCAAGTTGGAAAAAGAAAGGGAAATGCCAGAAAAGGCAAAGGATAAAATTGGTAAATCACTTATTTTATTCTGGTTTAGGATTGTCCTTGCGAAACAACAACGAGAAAACAAACAAAACAAAAAACCAAGATCAACGAAGTGAATTAGCACCAGGTTATTACTGAAGGTTGACTCCCTACAAGGACAGATACACAGAGCAGAATCAATTACATAATTACAGTGCCATTGTGCAATTTACTTGTCATTGCAAAGTATTCAGTCTGGTTATAGAGTTCTACTTAAGACAATGGAAAGTCTCCAGACATTTATTTATTGAATAGATTTTGTAATATCTTTGTATTTACTGCCTGTTAGGACATGCTCTAATTTCTCCAGTGTTCATTACTAATATGTTCCTGATCAGGGTCATTAACCACATATGAGCATTTACCAGTTGAATACTACTCAATGATTAGACTGTCTGCAATGCTTTTTTAAAAATTCTTTCTGCACATGTAATTTCAATGATTATAATATTCATACCAAATAATAAAAGAAAATGTACACAATACTTTTCTAAAATATATTTTTTAACATCCTTTAATCCCCTGATACGTTCCAGCTTTTGACAGATTGCGTGACTTTAGCTTCCTGTCCAGTCTTAGTCTCCTCTCTGTCATCTGGCCCAGAGACCCACCTAGGGCAAGATAGAGGCCCCCTCGTGCAGGCAGAATATCTGACAAATTCACAAGGATCAGACACTGCTGTAGAGAAGATTCCAAGCATCCAAGCTGGTTGAGGTGAAATTAGCCAAGTAGGGGAAAATTTCTTCCCATGTTCTGACTAAAAGATTGGAGATGATCTGTCTGAATACTGGTATATTCTCATCAGCCAATAATGCAAAACTGAGATTCCACCAACTGTTTGCTTTTTCTTTGTTTTGATTTGCTACCACTCGTCCCAAATCATGATTTTTTAGTTCATCCCTATGTACTCAGGCTAGTATTGTGAGGTTTTCTAAATCCTTGGCAGGAGCATCCCAGACTAGCAGAAGAAACATGAGATCCTTATTGGACCAGAATTTAGTTTAAAATTCTAAACAGCAATGCTAAGACTGCAAAATTATATTATACCTGTAAATAGTTGTTTTCAGTGCGTTTTGAAAATCAACCTGGAAAACCCATAGATAACGAAATATTTGTATCCAACAGAATCTTTGCTGTGATTGTGCAAAGTGACAAATATTTAATTTTCAGTCGGATTAAATAATCTTTATTTTTCATATAAAGGATTATTTCAAGATACCCAAATACAATAGACATTGCATTAGAGTTTATGAAAGCTGTTCTTTTCCATGTTCTTTTCCTCTCTTCCAACTCTGATAATCAGTTGTGAATGGTAAAACTTTCCTAGGTTTGTCTTTGTCCTTTGCTTGATTCATGGATAATATTTAATCTGTTTCGTAAAGAGGGCAATTAAGTATGAACATAAATTGAAAACTATCATCTCATAATTGCTTCCCTTTGACCTGACCTATTTTATGTGCCCACAATATAGCTAATGGTAGCATAGATTACAAAACAGTACATTCATGATTTATTAATATTTTCTATCCATAACACCCTTCATCTCAGTATTACTTTCACAGTCATCTGTAAATCAAAAGAATGTTCTAACAGTTCCATTTATTATGCAGTTAGGTCAAAAATGGCATCATAATAGTGCTTTATTCTGTATCTCATAAATGTTGGTGCTTCCCTCAAGATTTTAAAATATCCTTTGAGTTCGGTAAGTGGTAAGAACAGTTGATTTAGGGGTTTAAGTAATTCTTTATGCCCAATTTCCTAAGCATACAGACAAAAGGGAACATTAAGAAGGGGGGCTAATGTTAACATTCATTTTTGCTTGCATTATCAATCATTCATTTATCATTGTTTTTTGAGATATACATATAAAACATGCATTTTCTTCAAAAGCTAGTTCTCACATAATTCACCAAGGAACTAAATTTAAATCTCCAAGGGACAGTTTTTAAGAGGGCAAATAATAGTTCACAGAGCTAATCTTTTTATTGGAACACTCACTG